CTGAAATTTCAAACTCATTTGCCTGGGTAGTCATGCAAGGCCAAGCATTTTCATACATTACGCTCAAGAAAAACTGCAGACGTTACTGAAAAACCTTTTAATGTTTGTTGTTCTATCTTTGGTAGGTAGGATGTGGGGCTTTAACCTGGAAGCTGTATCTAAGAAACAAGGTGGACAGACAGTCCTATGCTGAACAGGAAAGCCACACCAAACAGTCAAGCAACCTGATCCAAAACGTTAAAATGAAAAAACTTATATTCCAGTGGCAAAACCTCTCAGAAATTAAAAAATTAGATCAGAATTACAAATCTAAATGCAGATGCTTATCCACAAAAGCACCTACATTTAGTATGCCAACCAGCATTTGAATGCTGCTTTTGCCCTTGAAAATCAACTGTAACACCCTTCACCTGGTAGTATATTTTGTACAGATCTGCAAAATGGCAGCTTCTCCTCTCACTGTACGGTGTCCCCTTCCATTTCCAATGGAATTATTTGTCAAGTAATAAAGAAATTAGATGCTAAAGGAGCAAACTGCAGTGACTACAAAGAAGTTTTCTGAGCCTTAAAACCAAAATAGGTCATTTCTTCCTGTTTCACACGCTTTACCTCTTTGTTTCATCACTTGCTGAAACTGGAGTGGACCAAAGGACGGAAGTGGGAATAACCGTACTTGCACATACGAGCAGCAGAGCCGCTAGTACCACACTAGCTTAAAACACACTTACTAAACACCACAGAAATCTGGTTCTTTCTCCACTGCACAAAACGAAGGCCGGATACAATTTGTACAGCTCCTCTGAAAAGCAAACCAGTTGGTTAGTATGAAAGGCAGTCCAAAATGAGAGCCGGACCAGGAACCACCAAAGCAGAGATGCAAACTGTTAGGGCAAGGTATCTTCGGTCTAAAACACCCCTTGACAGTGACCTGAGATGCACACACAGCACAGAGAGCTACGAGCAACCGGCAAGTAGATCAGAAGGGGTGCATGTCCATCTCCTCGAGTCTTGCCGAATTACATGCTTGTTTCTGATCCCCTTTTTCCTAAACCTTCACCTTTCCGATGCGAATAGATGCCGGCCTCCAACATTTGCATTCAGATATAAAAAAAAAAAAAAAAAAAACAAGCAAACAAACAAAAAAAAAACCAAAAAACAAGCAAGCAAACAAACAAACAAACAAAAAAAAAAACAAAAGGCAAACAAACAAAAACCAACAAAAAAACCCCAAAAAAACAAACTCAAACCAAACCTCCCACCCCCCCAAAAAAAGAAAAAATGCAAAACCCCAAAGGCACACCTGACGTGGAAATAGCACGCGTCGCTGTTGTTTTAAAACCACGACCTGCGTTAGAACCGGGAGCGCAGCGCACCCGGGTCCACCCGTTCCCGAGTGAACCCCGACCCACGCCAAACACGCAGAGCCCCCCGGCAGGAGACCCTTCCAACACGCACCCCCCCCCCCCCCCCCAAGAGTCGCTGCCGTGCCGCGCACCCCCGGCCCCACGGCAGGTCCGCTCCCACCTCTGCGCCCCGAAGGAGTTGGGGGGGGTGGGGGCGTGGGGGGCTGCGCCCCACGCAGTCCCGCCGCGGGGATCTTTGGAGCAGCTTTTCGGGTATTTACTACCTGGGGGAAAACGACCGCGAAAGAGTGGAAAATAAAATAAATTTTAAAAAATTAAAAAAAAAAAAAAAAAAAAAAAAAGGAAAAGAAAACCAAACCAAAGAACTACACCCCAGCCCCCGCCGCGACACGCGTGGCCCCTACCAGCCACCCCCCCGCCGCGCCTCACCCCCCGCCGCCGCTCCCCGCCGGCGCCTCCTCCCCGGGGGATCAAACCCCGTCCACGGGCGCGACGCGGCTCCGCCCGGGGCGGGGATCCCGCGGGGCCGCCCCACACCCCCCCCACCCCACCCCCGGGGGTGCGGCTGTGGCCGGGGAGGGGGTGTGGGGGGGGCGTGGGGGGGGTTGTCTTTCCGTTTTGCGGGGCGGTAGCAGCGGCCGGGGCGTCACCGCGGGGGGGAGGCGGGCAGCGGGGGGGGGGGGGCCCTTGTCACCCCTCCCTCGGGTGCCTGGTAAAGAACGAGCCGAATTAATTCTCCCTTTCCCCGGCAGCTCCCCCCATCAGTCAGACACAGCCTGCGCTTGGGTGTCACGCTCCGTTATTGTGCATTTTAGAGCCAAATTTCCCTTCGCGGAGACCGACGCCATCAGCATCTGCCCGAAACGCAGCCGTGAAGCTCAGTGACTTCCGAGTTGGTGCTTTTCTTCCCTATCATTAAACGCTGAATTTCCTCACCGATTCACTCTGTAAGAAGATGGAGTGCATTCAGCCAGAAAGAAATTCACCCTGGCCCGGTAGCTTCCCTTTTAGGTGTAATTTGTCCCCACTGCGCGTAGAGAATTTGCATAGACCGGTGTAATTTCTTTCCTGGTTACACATTAAAGAAAAATTTTCTTCCATCTCCCTAGGGACTTTGCAGGAAAACCAGAAAGGAGTTGAAATGGTCTGAACAAGTGACGCAGACTTAAATCTTTTAGAAAGTCACGAGTAGTTTGCTCCAGTACAGAGCTAGGACAAACTTCCAGAGTTGTTTTTTTTGTTTGGTGCCTTTTTCTGTTTGTTTGGTTTTTTGAGGTTTTTTTTTCTAAAATATTATAAGATATAAAAGGGTAGGAGACAGAAATTCAACACTTTTTCTGCACTTTTCATGAAACAGTGGAGAGACTTGTACTGTCTGACATGAATTGTTTCTCCATCCATCTCAACTAATCTGGGCAAGGAACAAAAGAGATAAAACCTGTTAAGTATAGATGTGCCAAGCTCTCAATTATGTGCACTCACAGAAAGCCACGAACACACTTATCTAAGTAAAAGAAAATCTAGACTTAAAAACCAGCTCAAAATAGCAAAAGTAAATAGTTGACTTAGAGCTGTCAGTTGTGTAGGACTGCGCTGCTCCATCAAAAAAAAAAAAAAAAAAATCTGGGGGAAAAAAAAAATAAAATAAAATGGTTTAAGTGCCATCTCTATGCCTCTCTGGGGCACCAGCTAACTGGCACTCGCCATTTGGACGTGGAGTCTGTGGTTTAAGGTAGCTGTGTCTCAGGAGGTGCAGCTGAGAGATGCTGTTGGGATCTAGCTCGCACGGCATCCACCTGGGATTTGTTTCTGAGCCACGGCTTGCCTGCACCTCTCCCAGGCTCCAGCTTCCCCTTCCAGCTTCCTTCTCACCTGGACCAGGCCAGTGATGGTACTGCCGGATGGTTCAGCGTTCCAGCCAAATCCAAATTTGCCTCTTTCTGCTCTCTCTAACCCGAATTAAGATTTTAGGATTTAACAGGTGATTTCTTTGTGCAGACAGGCCTGAGAGTTAATGTTTATCTAGTTGCTGACTCAGAGAAGAGAGATGAAACACGCACAGTACAAACACTGCAGATCAACCCCCCCGTAGCAGTGAGTCTTTCCCACTTCCCGGCTCTCTGCTCTCTTCTTGGGCCGTGTATTCAGCACGTCAGTGCAATCCAGAGAATAGCCTACGCACCTCTTTGCATGCCTTTTCTGAGAATAAACCCTGTGGCAACCGGTCAAGCAGAGATCACTTACTTGAAACCTCCAGAGGTATTTTTTTTTTTTTTTTTTTTTTTAACTAACATCGTCCTTTTTGTCCTCCTTAAGCTCTTTCTGGGCTTCTTCCCTGAGCCACGTAGGGAGAGCTCTCTACTACCTTTTCCCATTTGTGGGCTTCGGCAGGGGGATGTGGTCTCTCCCCCCTAGCAAGTCGCTGAGAAAGGACAGCCTCTACCCACCTCCCTCCTCCGCAAGCCCCTCCGTGGCCTGGGATGCAGACAGCGATGCTGAGACTGAGCCAGGTACCACACAGGCCTCCCGCGCTCTGTGCTGGACCGGTCTGGGTATGCCGTTCCTGGCAGCTGAATATGAGCAAGGATTATCCTAAAGAGAGCAAGCAAGGTCTAGGTCTGAGCCAGGATCAACTGCAAAAAGGGGAATAGCAGCTGGCTGGAAGGCAGTTTCTGCGGCGGGCGGTGCAGAAGTGAAAACGTGCTGCTGCAAGGGTTCAGGAAGCTTCAGAAAGGGTGAACTTCCCCAAAATATCTTGGAAAACAATGTAGTGAGCTAGAAAAGGCCTTACTTAGAGTCTGCATTCGACATGTTTCTGCAGAAGTCATGCCTCCCCTGCTTTGCCTCCGAGGAGGCAGCAGCTCCATGGGGACAAGGGGAGAGCTCCAGGGAGCTCAGGCTGGAAGCAGCTTAAGTTTGATTCCCTTCCTCCAGACTCTCTGGTCATGGCATTTTGTACACCTTTGCGAGATCCAAGAAAGGCTATGTGCTGATGGCAAACTTCTACCCCTTAGGGAGAGTTACGATACTTCCTTCCTTTAGGGAAGCGTTACAAACATGCCCAGAACATGAACCTCCAGGTCTTTGTGTAGGTCACGGCATCTCCAAGCTGCAGGCATGACCGTGGCTACCTCCCTCGGCTTGTACCCACACAAGACTGCATAACGATTACAGCAAAAGCTTATACTGGAAGGCATGCTAAGCAGTTGCGAAGACATTTTAACCATCTCCGTTTAAACCCACAAATCAGTAGCGGAAGCGGCTGCCGTGTTCTCGCTCCCGTCGGCAGGTGAGCGGCAGGATTATAACCACAGCCCAAAGATCATCAAAAATTCAAAAGGAGTGTGAAAAGGGTCTGCTGAGAGAAAGGCAACAGCATCCAAGCCAGCCAGAGTAGGAAGCCTAGGTGCAGAACTGGCGAGAGCTTCACCCTTCCGTTTTTCAAGTCCATTATTAACAGTCAGGAACCATTTCCCTGTTGATCACCGTTTATTACTCTGACCAAGGTCAGGGATAGCCCAGCCCATAGGTGAAAGTAGTGCCCGTGCAGCTGTGATCTGCAGCGCAGGAGCTTCCTGTAGCTGATCACCAGCTTGGTGAGATGCCAAGATTTAAAGCAGAGCTCTATGAACTTACCGATGCTTCTCTTTGAGTGGTTATTTCTGCTTCGTTTTTCTTGCTCAGTGAACAGGTCTCTGCTCTTACTTGCCTTGCTGTCGTGTCGCCTCTGCATCTCCTCTCCAGAGTATCCCCACCCAGCTGGATTTCTCTCCCCTGACTTCTTTTGCCAGGAGTAGCAAATGAGTGTCTACAGACTCAGCTCCTCTTCACAGATCAGCAAGCTGTGAAAGGATCCGGCTTCCTGTTTCATTTCCGTTAAAGTTTTCAAAGTCGCACACAGGCTGTGCGTGCTTCTCCATATCCAAGCCACACAAAAAAAAAAAAAAAAAAAACAAAACAACGAAAAAAAAAAACACCAAAAAACAAACTACAACCCCCAAATTAAAACAAAAACACACACACACCCCCCCCAGCATAACTCATCTATTTATAGAGGTTACGTTGCTACCTCCCTCCATTTCTTCCAAGTGGTTTGAGGACCGGGGATCGCAGGGCGATTTTCAAACTGTGAGAGAGACCACGTATGGGTGGTACGTCTTAGTGGTAGTCCTCAGAGAGTCACAGCCGCCTCTTTTCGACTCCAGTGTCAAGTCTGATTGCTAAGCACTTGACGTTACGTATCATGCAGTCAGCGCGCTTTCTGTAGATCAGGAAAAAAGGTAAGTGGTCCACACAAGCATCCCTTCTCTATCGAGATATGGACTGTGCTATGTAAAAGCAAAGTTTACAGAGATACGATTAAATCACTTCATAGATACAGGACGTTCAATAAGACTAAGCAAAGGGTCCTTCAAGAGATTCTTTCATTTCCCCTCTTATCATTTTAAGTTAAATGAGACCAGTGTTTTTTTCTACAGTTTAAGGCTACTAACTGCTTCTTAATTACACTGCTGGAAGATATATCCCAATACCATAGCTTACGAGTTCAAAGTCCAGCCTCCTGCTCTGAAAATACCCACAAGTTCTTGTTTCAGAGGCAGAAGCAACCATTATGCCCTGCCAGACTCCTGTTGACTGTTGCTCCACGTTACAGAAGGATTTTAAAAAAAAAATGCTGGAACTTGTACAGTCATGAACTCACACTTTCACCTTCACTGCAGTGTTGATTTCCCTTTATACATCTTTTACCACAGTATTTTTGTTAAATTTGTTTAAAAATGCTATTTCTCCGTTATCACGCTTGGACCAGGAGCATTTGCTAAAAAAAAAAAAACCAAAAACTAAGGAAACTTGGAAAGGTGGGGTTGGAGGGATATATACATCTTTTATACAGTATTTTTGTTAAATTAGTTTAAAAATGCTATTTCTCCATTATCACGCTTGGACCAGGAGCATTTGCTAAAAAAAAAAAAAAAAAAATTAAGGAAACTTGGAAAGGTGGGGTTGGAGGGATAATGGTTACTTATATTACACTGTTCTTTCTCTTTGTTGGCACCTCAGGAGCTGAAGGTGAGGCTGTGCCTGCTCCAGTCCAAGGCTTGGGCCCCATGACTGCAAACCTGCAAACACTTCTTGTTTCCCAGTTTACTGTCGAGGAAGGAGAACAATAAAGAATTTTCTGTCTTTAAGCATTCACTTGCTGCCTTTGAATTCTGTCATGCTATTCATGCTCCACACCAGTGGGCATCCAAAGGCAGCAAGTGAACGCTTAAAGACAGTGTGTGTATATATATATGCACACACACGCAAACATTTGTATGTATATATGCATGTATATTATTTTTTTGTCTGTGTTCAGTTTCCATTAGCATAACAAGATGGTTCTGAGAGGGGAAAATCTATGGGCTGCCTACAGGACCAGTGCATCTCCAAGGGGAGATCTGGAGAGAAAGTTGGTAGGAGAGCAGAAAGAAGCACTGCACAGGCCCTCTTTTCCTTTACTTGCTCAGCACTGTTTTTTTTTATTTTGTTGGAGGTTTTTTGTTTGTTTGGGTTTTGTTTTGTTTGTTTGTTTTTTTTTTTTTTTAATAAAGCAAAAAATCTGTTTATTTTAAATTATACAGTGAAAATTAACTGTCTTCACTGCACTGAATTCCCTTTCATCATCTTAAATTCCTCTGTTGTGGTTCTTACTCCATTTTTGTTTGATAGGTTGGTTTGCTTTGGCCAGAAACAGTTTTGGATGTTTAACACTGCCTACACATCCTCTTTTCTTGCAGTTTCCACATTTTTTAACCCATATACCATATTTCCCAACCAAACATAGCTGGGTCACCTAGATCACACTTCGATAACTCTTTAGGTTTTATCCAAGCAGGAAAAGCATGGGTTACCTCGGCTTCCCGCTGTGCTGGGGCATGAATATTTGCCCGAGGTGGTCTGCATTGCTTCCACAGCCCCGTGTGCATCTTCAGGGCATGATGAAATTGCTGGGACATCTGAACGCTCTGTGTGTCAGGGATCTAGGACCTTGGAGGAGTTTTGGAAAGCGGTGTTGTCTTTGCTCCAACAGGATCAGAGGACGGGCAAAAAAAGGACTCTAAAAGGGAGAAGAGGATAGACCAGGACATCCTACACCCCTTCCTTGCAGGAAAGAGTCAGCTGAGCTTTGGAACGGGACTAAGTTACAAAAACTCCAGGATAAATTCCCCACACACAACCTATGCATTTTTTTTTTTTTTTTTTTTTTTTTTTCCTAGAAACAATGAAGACGTTTATGCAAGCTCATGGGAAGAAGAGAAAGACAGACCTAAAATGGAAGATGTCAAGTTTGAATGTACAAGAGGCAGTGACCACCTGGGCTGATACAGTCCACAAAGTAAGAACAGCTGTGTTTTACTAAGTAGCTAGTGCTTGCACGCCTGCCTGTTTGTACTCTTTATCACCTTCTCAAGCTGACAGGGAAATTTCCTTTGCCCACCCCCACGCTTCTGTGGCCGAGTGTTATCAGGCAGCCTCCCCTACCCGAGGCATTCCCTTGTGGTTCTGCGAGATGTAGAAAATGAGGTTTGCGTGGGACTTCACCACCGCTCCGCACGCGTGTTTCCCTGCTCGCCAGTGATAGGAGAGCTCTTGGTCTTCAGCGACAGCTGGGAAACCCAGACATGACACGACACGACATCACCCAGCTATCTGCAAGCTTTAAGCACAAACGCTTTAGAGATGCGACGGCCACCTGAGTTTGTCCCAGAGTTGCAGGCAGTTTCATCTCCATTACTGAGCTCTAGAGCCAACTTCTCCCTTTCTTTCTGCCTTTCTATCGGAAGCAGACTAAGGTGACAAATATCCACAACCTCTGATTGCATGGAGTCACCTTTGTTCTGCTGTAGCAAGTTGTTTTACCCTCTCGCTTTTTACCTGGAAGAAAATTACCCTTTTTGGAACAACTACCTTTATCACTGGCAACTTTCTGCTGCAGCTGGATAGGCTGGGGACAGAAGAGGTGCTGCCCTGTGCAGGTGCACAACAAGTTACTTAGTGGGTCAACAGGTTCTCCTTGTCCTTTTGAAGACTCATAAGGGGACTAGCATCAATACAATCTGCTTTCTGGTCAGATTAGGATTTTGGAAGCATCAGGCAGAGGTGTCTCCTGGTGCCTGGGCTTCGGCACAGGAGATCAACATCTTTGGGAAAAGGAATCCCTGTTTACAAAGTCTGTGACGGGCCTTGGTTTTGGGCAACTCTTTGTAAATCAGACACTTCATACTTAGAATGAGAGTCCGCATTATGTCTTCTTTTTCTTAGGAAATCAACACGCAGAGACTCAGATTTCAGCTGTGTCCTTCTCAGGCTGTAAGACGTTAGTGCCAGAAGAAATAAGACACGGCCTATTTGTAGGCACTTGCATTTTTTTTTTTTTTTTTTTTTTTTTTTTTAGTGTCAGTGCCTGGCTTTTGCAACAGTGACTAAATATTTACGTTTTGCTGTCAAAAGCACGTAAGGGCAAATCCAGGTAAGCATTTTAAGACCTGGGTGCTGCGAGTGACTCAGAGTACAGGTCTGAAGACCTGAGCATCCCCTTCCCTGGACTTCTCTTCTGAAGTAGGAGCAGCGAGCTGCTTTCTGCCACCGCACTCCGCTGAGAACCACAGCCGTCATCAGCAACGGCTTGTTCTGCACAGAAACAGCAAAACGGGAGCACTAAGGGGAAGAAAGGAGCTCATTCTTTCTGGGGGAAGGAGTCACCCCAACCCAAAACATTAAATGCCATCAGCGAAAAGAGCAAAGTTTCTTCAGAGGGAGAGTTAGCAACGAGTAGGAAAATAAAACAGATGTAGAAACCGAGACCACGAAGCGAAAGCAGTAGTCTGTACACAAAGGAGCAACAGTGCTGATGGAGAAGTCATGGAGAGAAAAGGGCTTGAGCATGTACATGCCCCTTTTCATAAAGCAGCTTATTGATCTAAATGACTTTCAGATTAATAGAAACAGTAACAGAAGATGTTCCTTTCTGAAAGACTCTTTGTGCAGCCAATAGTTTGCTTTTTCTGAATTACAAAGATAAACATCCTGGTTCTATTTGCCGTTTTCTTTCCCCCCACCTCCTAACAGAGTCACCATCCATGCTGACAGCTGAAATTAATGTACATGCTTCTTCATTTAGCAGGTCAAAATAACCTACTGCTAAGCTAATATACGCTCTACTTGTCTATATATTTCACAACACAGAAGGAAGGATGACATGAATTTCTTTTAATTAGGATACGGGACAGGAATTCAGAGGATGAAAGCCTATTTCTGCAGTTGCCAAAATCTTATGCATCTTCAGCAAATCCTTTTACCACCTGTTAAAAAAGGGGAAAGGAAATAAGAAGCTTTCTCCATCTGTAAAGAGAAGCTTGATTAAAACTGAGAGATACTGAAAATACAATGGTGATGGAGACTCTTCAGCTGAATATACAGCCCCTGCTGTGATGATAAGCAGCACTTTGATCTCCCTTTGCAGTCAGTGACAATAAAGACAGAATTATCCTTGCAAGGGATGTCAGCACCTTCCTCACAAATGATTCAACGATTTATTATTCTGTAATTTTTTATGGATCTTACCCCTTCCGACATTCTACTATTCAGACTGCAAGTATAGGGATTTCTGATTTTCTGGCAAGTAAACGACATAGGTTTTCTTCAAAAAACAGCCCATATTGATAATGTAAAAATCATTTTTCCTGTCTGGTCCCATATGGTTTCTTCTCAAATGTATACATACACACACATTTCCCCAGACCCACCTTCCACCCCATAAACTTTGTCTCAGTGGAATTTGG